GACTGTTACTAGTCAATGAAATCATGCAGACGGAAGAGATTTGTTTGGAGGTTACCGAACAGGGTGGACGAATTTTGTTGGTTTTGGTACTCTACTGGTGATCATAGCAGAAGTTATAGAATATTTTAAATATTATTTGCTAGGTATTGAGACGAACCAGACAGAAAATATTACAATAGTCAAGCCTGGAAAGTACTAAAGAATACAGAATGCTTTAGTGTCATCAGCTAAAGTGGTCAGAAGAGCTACGGTTTTGTTATCATTATCTGCAGTTTGTTACATGTCAACCATGATTTCTCATCAGAAATGCACTTCTCCATGCCTCAAATGTTAATTGGGTGACTAAATTTGCACATTTCATTGTGAACATATAATGAGTTATGTCACGTGCAAGGGGCTGAGTGTACAGAATGATGATAATTGGTGTGAGAATAGAACCTTAATGAACGCCATAACAGAGACGAATTGGACTGGAATATATTCCATTTCTCGACACATTTTGTGCAATTTCATATCACTCTAGTTATCGACACCAAGTAAACGCATCTGCTTTCTGATGATTTACTATAAATTTTGGATGTTCTCCATACCAGATCAACTCGGAGGGCGTTAACCATAACAACATATTGTACAACACTTTACCAGGTTACATTGATATTTTTGTCGTGACTAGCGAAGATAATAGGAGTCAGGATTTCTTCCATTCATATTTATGAAAATTTAGATGTCCTATTTATCTTCGTAGGCTTTTCGTGATTCATTCGACATTGATTCATTTGACATTGTTTAAAGGTTGAATCTAAAATCTTCTGGCCTAAGGACGGTTGAAGTATTCAACGATAACCATTGACAGGTTTAAAATAAGAAAATACGATATTACTGTATGATTCTTAAGGTTATAAAGCAATTGCTTGCAATCTATTATGTTGTAAGAGTTTCATTATAAAAAGGAATTTACAAGTTTCTGCTGTTAAATAATTGTCTGAACTGCCAATAACATTGCAACCCTTTGCCACACGTCTTTAAAATTAATGGTTTGGTTAATATTTGATTGATTTGGATAATATTATTTAATTGATTTAGATAATATTATTTAATTGATTTGGATAATACTTTTTAAATGATTTAGATAATATAATTTAATTGATTTGAATACAAGCTCCTAAATAAGTAACAGGTAAGAGTGAAAAGTAACAAGTTTTGTAAAATTCAGCAAATAATTTATTTCCAAAGTAAAAAAGTGATAATTGATAACTTACTGTATTGAGAATTAAATCCCAAAAGAATCATAGAATTGCAGACACACGTCCTTATAATCTACATTTTTTAATAAACTTTAGATTAAGTCCAATGCTGAATTTGTTGATGCACCTGAGGCGGCCTGTATGTTGGTATTGAATTAACAGTCTTTTGTTGAAACACAATAATATAAGTCCATATTTCAATTCAATGTAAATTCCAGTGAATGTTTCTCTCCAAGAATATTTTTTTTTAAAAATGATCACTCTATATTTGCAGAGAAAATTCGCCTGAACTGAACAATTTTGAAGAAACAAATTCCAGTCCAAAATGAACTACTAGACAGAACAATAATACAAATTGATTCGTAAGCACGAATGAATAATCTTTCCAATATAGATCTCTAATTGAACTCTGGAAATAACTGACCTTTTCTTAAAATGAAAAGAGCATTTCAGAAAGTTTTTAATGTTTGCAAAATAAAATGTTAGTCATTATGAGAGACTCTGTTGCTAAAATTAAAATTTATAACCTGGATAATATCAGGCACACCAGGTAAATTGTAAGGAAATTTCAATATCCTAGACGCACACCAAAAAAAAATATTAACTAGTATGATGTGGTTTATTCAGGAATACTGACAACTGAACCTGACAGTCACATACAGTGGATATCTACATAAATAAGTCATATAGACAACTAACATTCAATTAAACGGTAATATTATATTTCATATTCATTAATAACTAATGGAAAAAGATTAGAAAAATAAGTGTTACTTTTAATCAAGCGTCTTATTAGATATTATCCTCCATCTGAAGTGTCATGTATATCTTTTGTCCAAAAGTTAATTTTTCAACACTAGTCTCTTTCCCACCCCATTAATTTGCATCATATGATATTTACCTTTGCCAATAAAAATCTATAATGATTATATACTCATATACTTATATATGCTTTTGCACCCAGAAAAATAAATCTGTATTAATGTGACAATCTTTGAAGCAAGGGCTGAAAACGATAGTTAAGTATCTTTTGTATCTAACTTAATTTAGGTATGCAAAATAAAACTTTTTGTTCATGATGTAAGAAGACGCTTGTTTTATTTAAAGTATTTGTTTACTAGACGTTTTGGATCCCTGTTTAAAATAAAAGCTTTAAATTTCCATTGCTTCTGTTCATAAACGTATCATTAACATTTATTGCAAAGAATAACGTTGAGCAGTAAAGTTGGTTTCAGCGTAATTGATTAGCAAAAGAAACGCGAATGCGTAACTGTCTGGCCGTTGTAACTTGTTTAAGCAATGAATCTGTGAACATGATGCGTAAACATTACTCTTAGTATATACTTTGTGGTGCCAATATCGTTTAAGTTCACTTCCCCCATAATTGCCTCGTGATCCCATGAGATGGTACTGGTCACCGGAAGTTAAGTGCTATAGTATTCAATGCCATCATTACAGTGTATGGGCATATAGATGTGGATATGTTTGCTATCAGGCTAAATCACCAACTTCCGTTTCGTGTTATGTCTCATAGACCCAAAAGCTCTAGCAGTTGATGTTCTTTTCTTTAAAATGGAATTGCAGTTGCTTTCCACCTTTTAGTCTGTTGGGAGCTGTTCTGCAAAAACATGACCCTAGATGAAGTAGTTATTATTTTGATGGCACCACTCTGGACAACGCAACCCTGGTGTCTGAGCCTCCTGCGTGCTGTAATCGTTCCTTGTTTTCTACTGCCACGTCTACATGAGATTCTACACTTGGCCCACAATCCACAACGAAGAAACCCTCCTCCACAAATTCAAGATGGGTAATTTTCACCTATGAAAACAGCTTTCAAAAATGCCTTCCTTATCATTAATTCATGGGGAACATCAACTAAAAGCATTATTGTTTTCATCTCCATAAGTGTATGTTATTTTCAAAATAGATTAATTTACACGATCTACCGGTGACTATTGTTATAGAATTTTTAACTGAATTAGTAGATAGCGGCTTAAGTTATATTTCTATAAATACAGCTACATCTGCAATTTCATCATTAGATGGTTTTGTTTCTAAATACACTAAGCAAGAATGTGTTACTTAAGAGATTTATGAAAGGAATATTCGTTGCAAAGCCTTCGTTTCCAAAGTATTCGTTTGTGTGGTATGTGCAGCTTATGTTTAATTATTTTCTCTCTTTACAATGTAATGACACATTTTCATTGCAGGAACTTACTATGAAGTTAGCTATGGTTTGTTAACAGGATTCTTTTGTTTTTGCATCTGATCCATGTGACAAAAATTGTGTGTTGTTTCTTGTTTCGGTGTCATTTGGAACGAACCAAACCTTTGATAAATTCTGAAACACAGTTATTCATCAGCACACAATCCCCACATAAAACCTTGCTAAGGCACAATATCAAACTGGATAAAGAATGTTATGTGAAAGTCTGGTATTGATACATCAGTTTTCCAGGTTCATATCACCATGACTGCATTTGTGTCTGCAGCTTGTGCTAAAGGGATACCATTGGGTACAATCTTGGAGACAGCTGGTTGGACTAGTGCCTGTACTTTCAGGAAATTCTGCACCAAGCCCGTTACAGAGAATACTGAGTTCAATACAAAGGTATAGTCAGCATCCAGAATTTCGTGATGATCATGTAGTGTACAGTGTAAACTTGGGTTATCTGGTCTACTACCAACAAATAAAGGTTTTCTTGTTTTTCTTCTAGTTGTTGTTAATCTATTCCATAAACGAAAGCCTATCACTAAATTGTTATGGGATCATGAGGCACCTATGGGGAAAGTGAAATTGATAAATTAAAGTAGACTTACCAAGTTGAAGTTTGATTGCAGCTTCACGAACCCCATAAATGCATTAGTGATTACATGCTCACCCTTAAACTTCCCAATAAATAAAACATGAAAGTTTCCGTTTCTTTTGGTTCAAGTCTGATCAGCTAGTGACCAGTGTTATCTCATGTGATCACTAAGGCACTTATGGAGTTCGCAAAATTACAATCAAACTTCGACTTTGTAATTCTAGTTTAATTCATCAAATGTATGCGGTATTAGTTGACTTGATTAGAGTATTCAATTAAAGATAGTATAAATCCACTTTTCAAAGAAAAGACGGTTGAAAGTTATTTTCATTTTTGCGATTTTTTTGTGCAACAATATGAAAGTTTAAATATGAATATATCTTGCCCAAATATGGAACTTACAATATAGCAGGGATTATGACAGTGTATTGTTTTATAATTTCAATAATAGCAGTAGAGTGTCCTTGACGTTAGGAATGCGAGGGAAAAAAAACCACGCGTTGACACTTCAATCAAGAAACATAAACCCTTTAAGTAAACTCATGCATTACATTTGTTTAGCTTAATGTGAGCCTCACACTAATTATAGTCATTAAATTGAAATTTTTATTTGCAGCATTTATCCAAATTGTCAATGAAAGAAAGTCAGTACATAATGAAACTGAAATATAATATGCTAGTCTTTCATATACGTTACAATTGCCGTGTTCGGGATGAAATTTCATTCAAATATTAAATCTATTAATTATTCATTGACGAAGATAGTCCGAATAATCGGCGATCATGATTGATTGTATTTACAATATGATTTGGAATGGTGTCTTTTACGATATTTTGAAAGTATAAATGTACAAATCGATAACTTTTCATTCAAGCGTGTATAATGTTGCTTTTAAAAGCTTATCATTAAGTTAGATGTTTGCGTTGCTACACAAAACATAGAATAATCCACTCCGTTGACCTAGTGATTAGAGTGTCCGCCTCGGATGCGGGAGGTCGCGGGTTAGAACGCCGGCTGAGTCATATCAAAAGACTTTAAAAAATGGTACTAATAGCTGCGTCGCTTGGCACTTAGCACTAAGAGGTTAGTGTTAGGACGGGTCGTCCTGTTGTCAGGATAATGTGACTGGGAGGGACATTATGCCACATGTTTTCGGCATGATGCCCCAGTGCTAGACATCACTGTAAACTGTCACACTACATACAACATAGAGATATGATTAAAATATTGCTAAAGCTACGTTAAAAGTTTAAATCACACACATACACACACAAAATAAACGTAAAATAAACTAAAAATGAAATAATATATTAAGATCCTCAGATATTAAACTCATCGCGTAATGTTAATTCTCAAAACACTAACATATCAATAGAGACCTATGATGTTAAACCGATCGGTATTCTTGAATACTGGATTCTCCATCTTGGGACCAAAGTGCTTCAACATGTTTAACATGCGGACAATTTCAAGATACAATTTGCTCTTGTCCGCAAACTCCCTCAAAGTCTTATACTAATAATCTCCTGAATATGAAAATGTGAACACTTTTTTTCCCTTCTCGCAATGCACCCACAAAATGGCGGCCTAATATTAAATTACATTTGTCTCAAGAAAGTCCAGCCTCAAATTTTTAACATAGGTCTCTACTTCTCATGATGGTGGCTTGTATAGTGATGATATGAGAACAATCTTTTGTTGGATGACAATAATACAATCCAAGAATATATCCCTATTTGAAATTTCACTATTAATCAAGCCCGTTTCCATTAATAGTAGTTTTTTAAGAGTACTTTGTATTTCCGGTAACTACATTATCTGACTAATGTCTTGCATATTTAATTTGAATTGTTTGTTTGTTAGTTATATTTCTTTTTGCCTTATTTCATTATATGTTATAGGCACACCAACACCGTACGAGCAATTTCAGGCACATCAACACTTTCATTGTTGGACTTAATAAGGTGGATTTACACGTACGTTTATTCAGAGTAATAAATTATTAGGACTTGTGTCTGTAATCCTAGAGTTATTTTGGGATTTAATTCTCCGACTCAGATATGTTTAGCAAGATAAGGGACATATAACCGCAGAATACATGTACCATATAGAGATTCAGTTATCATGCAACATGTTGTTTTGTAAACATACACATATTACCTTAAAGTTATCATGTTTTTCAAGTGGTAGAGTATATTTGATCACATTTATCTCTCTACGCTACTTAGTTTATTTACCCTTGATATTTACTTTGTCCAAAAATAAATATTGTTGTTTATCGTAGTACTGGCATATACGTATACATGGTTTATTTTCAACAACGCATTCTTTGAAAAGATTCTTTTCAACGTAATTATTTCGCGCGTGGTCTTAGTGGCAAGGTTGGTGGTTGTCTCGATATGATGACCTATAGCGATATTGAAAGTATTCGACAGGTAACATAAATTTGATTTGAAATGACCAATCATATAAGATCCTCTAGTTATGTAAAATTGTGTAATTGGCACCAATGCGATATTCTGTTTACAGCCATGATCGTTATGCCTTTCCTTTTCATGGTGTTATGACGTTATTTGTGACGCTATGAAGTGTAAGTACACTATTTCAAACCTCATCATGTTTTCCGATGCATGTCGAAAAACTTGGATTCCAGGAAAGAGACTTTTTTTTTAGGCATACGACGGAAAATGCTTGTGTTTTTAAGGATTTTCATTTCTTACAATTATGGTAATATTATATTAACATAAAAAATATCGACTATATATCTCAAATTAAATAAGCTAAAAGTTAGAACGTAAGATCAATTAAGTAATAGAAATAATCATTCTGCATTTGTATAAAATTACTGTCAATGGACGGGTTCTATTGACCGATCCGGTGTTCTAGTGGTTAGAGAGTCCACCTCGGATGCGGAGAGTATCGAGAGTCTTACCAATGACATAAAAATGGTACAAACGGCTGCCTCGCTTGGAGCTCAGCATTAGGAGGTAAGAGTTATTACTAATAGGTCTGTTGTCAGGATACTGTGACTGGGTGGGACATGATGCTACATGTATGCGGAATGATACCCTAGTGCTGGAAATTCCTATAGCTGTCATACTGCATACATCCTATCGATATGACTGAAAAAATGGTTAAAGCTACGTTAAAAATTTAACAGACACATACACACACACGCGGATTTTTGTATTACTACGCTACTGAAATACTCATGTATTAATCCAGTCATTTTATCGATGTCACATTCTTAGCAAATAAAAGTTTGTAATTTATTTTTATATAAAACGTAAATTAAAGTATTCACATACCGTGTAACGAGTACTTTTAGAGGTTGATAAATTTTATCGATATAACGGTATCAAAAATGCATTCGCAAAAATAAATACAATTATAGTTATCCTTATCCCGCAAATGTTAATAAAATTGCAGTAAAATTAACGTAATTGCATGATGACACACCACTTTTTAAGATCCTACTTATTAAACCTTGCAGTAAGAATATGTTACAGATTATACATCTATCCACCCACCCCTTTTAGGTCCTACAAATCAACAGATGTAATAAGGATATACTATAGATTACCCCCACCCTACTACTTCTTAAACTTATCACTTCCAAGAAACAACTCTTCTGACTAATGTCAGCAACTAATACTGATACCAAAACACAATACCTATGAAAGCAATGGATAAAGACTTGTTCAGCAGATCAGCAGAGATTTCCATTCGGTCGCTAAACAACAATTAAATCAATTGAACCTTACTATTTAGAAAAAGAAGAGTTGATAAGGTTGTTGTTGTTGTTTGTTGTATATATATATTGTATATATATATATATATATATATATATATATATATATACACACACACACACACACACACACATACCCTACTCGATATTAAAAGGGATTTGCTATTTGCTGCCTTGGTCTTTAGGAGGCAATATGTGCAATGGCATTCTGAGGCAGACGTAAATAGAATAATTGTCATAATTAAGCGTGACATCTAAAGATGAATATAAATAATGATAATTTATAAGTATTTATAATTATGTTTAGAATGTTTATGAATCACTGTTACGTGTCTAGGCTCGTAGAAAGGTAACAAGAAAAGAGTGAAGACAACAAGCTTTTTGAAATATAACAAATAATTTATTTCCCTAGAAAACCAATGTAAAAATGAGAAAAAGAACATACGGTTTTTGAATCAAATCCTAAAAATAATCCAATAATAGCAAATTAGATGGAAGTTGATGACGTATGCCGTAAGATGTTGTTGTGTTAATAGTTTCTTATTAAATACAAGAAAATAATATTCATGTTTGGAATTCTAAATAAATTTTGATAAATAACTTCGTACAAGAATTCTGATGTGGACTAGTATTTTCCAGGGAAAGAATCAATAATTCCAAAAAAAATATTCAGCTCAAACTGGTCACAACAAAACACCTTTAGGTGCCAAAGATTCAGAACCGGACTGGTTAATTCTTATGAAGAAAAAGGTTTTACTGCAAGTTAAGACGCAAAACAGATTCCCGTATGAGGGCCACGTATGGTTTTAGCTAAAATCAACGGTTCTTTCTCTAGGAAACATATTTTAAAAAGGTTGTTTACCAAAGACCCTTACTAGTTCAGAATCAATGTCCGCAACTAGAAACAATGTTTCCACTCTTGGCTTTTATCAGGTCAGACAGAACTGAACTGAATTTATAAAAAAAATATCAAATCCAATTGACAAAGTTACCATTAAAATAACAAATGTTACGTGACAAGGGCTTGTATATTTTAACAAAACATTTTTTTTCCCTACACAACAATGTAAAAGACTAATAAATAGGACTTATAGTTTGTAAATATAATCCGAAATTTGGTCCTAAGAATGAAAATACAAGTCTTATCACTCAATACTTCCATTAGAATCCAGGTTCGAGCCCCGACGACGTACAAATATGGAAGGATATGACGTCAGATGCGGCCCAATATACAAATATCATTTATTCCTCACTTGAATCACAGTCTTTGCGAGATTGGTCACTTAGTCTCTTACTACACTAGTTTTGGCACGTAGACCAATTTGTCCCTACTTAAGAACCAATCATAAAACGCCGTTATTTACACATAGTGATCACGCAAATAAAGTATGCTCCTGATACTGACCAATCATTTAACTTCGTGTTGAGAGTCTTACCAGTTTAAGACGAACTAAGGTAAATAAAATGTAATTCTCACGTAATACTATCGAGTAAGATAATCTGCAAACAGACCTGTACTGAAATCGAGTAAGATACTCTACAGTTAGGCCTGTACTACGATCGAGTAATATCCCTAAGAAACAAGTCTGGACTAGGGCAGAATAAGATCCTCTACAAATAGGTCTGAACTAAAGTAGATGAAGATCCCCTACAACCAGACCTGTACTACAATTGAGTACTATCTTCTACATCCAGGCAAGTACTATTATAGAGTAAGATCCGCAAAAACTAGGTCTGAACAAAAGTAGAACAAGATCCTCTACAACTAGATCTGAACTTCGGTAGAGTATAATCATCAAATCATACCATCGAGTAAGATCCCCTATAACCAGGCCTATACTTATACCACAGACCGTTTCCATAGAATTTACATAGACTATACTTAAAATGCAAAATGCAAAAATGATAGAAATATGTGTACTCAAAATTACGAGCATAATTACTCCTTTGCTATGGAACTTTCGTTTTTGAATTAAATTAATCGTTACAAATATAAATGAACATACATTAAAAGTTCCCCTCCCCGCCCTTGCGGAAGCAACAGTGGCATACGTAAGCATTTCAAACTAAAAGTAATTGAAAAGGTAAAGCCAATACAAAAATGTCCGCGAACTCTGAATCAAATGATATTTTTTCTTTATAGCTTATTGCACTATTCATTGAGCTATTGATAACAATTACTCTGTCGGTGCATTTGCATAATAAGATTTGTATTGTTACTATGTCAGTTCTGTTTATGACGTTGCCGATCAGATATTTAACCACGATAAG